AAAGGCTACAGTTATAACTATAGAAACTGCATATTGCATTTGGGTTTGCTTATTTTGGCACATTTGCACTGTTTACTGGGCAGTATCCACTGCAGTAACCTCGGTGGTCGTAAAACGTTTGTTTCCAATTTATATTTGATTAAAGGGGGTACCTCCCACACTCTTACAAAAGACCGGGGGGTAAACCACTGATTTATTAAAATTAAAAATCGCATACAAAATTTGTATGCGATTTTTAATTTTAATTAACTGCTAAGGAAAATAATGACAAGGGTAGTCATGCGCAACGCGTCGCTAAGAGAAATTTCTTATTGATAAGGATTTTTCCTTATTGATAACGACTAATGAGGAAAAATCAGAACACAGCGTCCACATAACGTTAAACCATTGATTAAGGTTCACTCAACTGTTGAACGTTGGTCTCGCTAATTTTTAAGTAGTTTACCCCTCGCAAAAGACATAGAATAGGTATAGAATTATAAAATATATTAAATATTTACAATAACAAAATTTAAAGGAAAAAATTAAAAATTATAATTGGGGGTATATTATTGCATATTTGCATACTAACCTGCATAGCACTTTTTATGTTGAATATAATCCGGTCTCTAATTATAACTTTAGCACGTGTGTTTTATATACTTTAATTATTAAACTGGTGCAATTACAAAAAATTTGTAATCCAAAAGACGTAATTTTATGTAAATTTATTCAAGTAGATAATATCTGAGTGACTATTTTTAATGAAGTAATAAATTAATGGGCAATTTAGAATGTCATTTAAATAACCTACATTATTCAAAATATATTTTCAAATTATGCAGAATTTGCCATACTTGTACTTAGAGTTGGGGGTGGTCAATTGACCGCGGTCATTTGACCGGTCAAAATATATTTAATTTTTGCAGCATTTTATCTAGGTATCAAGAATTACATGTGAATCTCAAAATTTTTGCGATCGTGCAATATCGACATCAATTTGGTGGTTCCCCGAGTCGCGGGGTTGCTAGGCCGGACTCGGCGCTTTGCCCTTAAAGCGGGACATATCTTTTTTAATAGCGAAACATAACTTTTTAAAGTCGCACAAACGTTTCTAAAGATAACATAACTTTTATAATATTTTGATATTTTATTTAATTTTATTTTGGTCAATTGACCAAAAACAATTTGACCGGTCAATTCAACAACCCTGCAAGTACCCTAAGGTTCTACAAAAGTGCACTTTTGTCCATGGTCAATAAAAAATTAAATTTTATAAATTACAAAAAAGTTGCAGAAGGCTTAATTAAATTGGGCTACAACGGTAGCCCAAGCCTTTTTAAACAGTTGTAACTTTTTTATAACATGTACACATTTTTTTCAGTAATTGTTAAAAACCAAGACTTACACTCTTAAAATGAATTAGTCAAAAATAACTAATTATAAGTCATATTTGACTAATTGTCATAGGGAAAAAGCAGTCACTAATAATTAGTTAAATTCTACTGAATGAAATAGTCAAATTAGTAGATTTAAATTTAAAAAACGTTTTGACCCAGCCGGGGATCGAACTCAAGTATGTCACTTGTCAAGCTTGTCAAGCTATTGTCATAACCCATTCGGCTGTCAGCCGCTCTTATAAAAATCAATTTTATTTGTCAATAAATATTGTTCATAATATTTTAAAGTTGAATATATTATTTGTGTTGCTGTTTTAAGCTAAACTTTTTGCATCTTTATTTGTTTTTATGGGTCATTTAACCATGGAGCGTTTAATTCAAATAATACTTTGTTGTTGGCCGCAAAAAATTAGTTACTTTTAACTGTCAGACATAGTCAAAGATAATCTTAAATTAGTCCAACTTTAACTATTTACGTAGTAAAAAATAACTATTTAAAAGTGAAAACGACTATTTTATTAGTAAAAAATGCTGGTACTAATTCAAATAGTAGAATTTTGACTATTTTATTTTTAGAGAGTAAACATATAGAATTGACTTATAATCAGTTAAGTTATATGTTGGTTCAAATAATTTAGAGTCAATCACGTTACATTTTTTGGCAAGTAATAATAAATATATGTAAATTATTTTTTGAACTGTTAAGATATTGTTGTGTTATTCTTTGCTACTACATATACTATGCTGCTTTGGAAGATTTTCAATGAATTAGACAAGTACTATTTTAACTAAAAAATGTGTTGATTTTACTATATTTAGTGTAACGAGCACTTTTGGGCAATTTCCCTTCCAGTTTACTGGTGTGCATTTTTTCATTGTTTGGAATTTCATTGTTTGGAATTTAGCAGTTTGGCGTACCTACTTAAATTATAAAGGCCGTATTACAGCCGGCAAATCTTCTTGCAGCAATTTTTCTTGCCATCAAGTTTTTAAGGCCTGTTGTTTTACAGTCAGCAATGGCAAAGAGTAAAATGGATACTAGAACTTTGAAAACAATGCCAATCATAAAACAAATAATCTAAAAACTATTTAAGTCAAACAGCGTCTCTCTGGGGAATTTGTAGTAGGGTTGGTAACATAAAAGTTACCAATTTTCATCCCAGAATTGCCGTTAAACGGCAATAAAAGTCCATCCGGACCGACGTTCGGCAATTGCAAGAGATTCATCGAAATGTCTCTACCGCGCATGCCTACGGCAATTTGAATTGCAATTGCTGAAAGAATTGCCGGCTGTAATAAGTAAGTAAGTAAGTAAAAATGTTTTATTTATGCCTTTGGAGTTTATCAAATAGTTATATTAACTTGAACACTATTTATTAAAGAAGAACTTAAGAACACGTATGTTAACATGTTCCAAAAATATAAATAAAACAATCACGATTATGTTAAAAATAATAAAATCACTTTAGTTTAAATTGCTTCTTTTTAACATTAATCCTCACCATCGACATGTTAGTAAGGGCTATTCTTATAAATAAAAATTATGTACTGTTCTTGTTGTTTTATATGTTAAGGACCTTTGTACCTTCATGTTCTTTAGTATGTAGGTACTTACTTTACTAGTTTATAATAAACTTTTTATAAAAAATGAAATGTTATTTTTGTCTATGCCATTAAAAAACACGATTTAAATTACATCAAATATATTTAAATGTACTCTACAATAATTCATTATTTAATCTATTTAATAGCATTTCTTAAAAAATTACACATTTTTAAACACTCTTTACAATGCACTTTTATGTTATTTTAAATAAAATTAAACACTATTAGTATAAATAATTTAACACATATATTTACAAAACGAACAAATATACAATTATATTTTTTCTAATAAACTTTTAAAGTAATCCTGGTTTTCTTGATAAATATCTTTATCATTCCGTTCCAAAAATTTTATAAAATACTCCACGGTGGTTTTTATTCCGTCAATTGAGAGATTTTGGCTTTTTAAAATTTCTTCTACTCTTTTTCTAATTTCTGGTGGACCAGTAACACACAGCTCCAAAATAATTAAATCTATGATTTGTAATGTATTTAAGCCCTCGTTCCTAATTTTCTTACAAATGACGACATTATTTTCTGATGCCTCACTTTCATTATCAATTTTTACCACATTGTGATAACTGGTTACTTTAAAAATATATTTTTTGTGCAGTTCCAGTAACCGGTTAGTTTTTTCCATATTATTTTCTGTAAACTTATTTATGATCCTCATGTTGTTATCTCTGTTTGCACACATTATGGACTGAATAATAGAACAAATGTGGAACTCAAGATCATTGTCATCGATATAGATATTATTAAACATATTACTTGGAGTTTCCATAAATAAAGGAAAAATAATACCTAATCCAAAGGGATCGGAAAATTTCTTACAGTTAAACTTTCCATATCTACCGTACATAGCCAAATCAATAATTTTCAGGGCATTACGTCTTGCATAAATATTTTTTCTGGCTAAAAGCTGCATAATATGAATTCCCGCAGCCTTGTAAAAACGAAACTTGTTATTCTTGCAACTTAATGAAATCTCCATACAAGCAAATAAATTTCTTACAAACTCCCTTTCTTCCAAAGATTTTGGTTCTTCCTTGGAATAAAAACATAGCTGCTTTAAAAGAAATTGAATGCCTCCCAACTCACTAAACGCCGTCAAATTGTTTTTGTCATCAAGAAGATCGCGGATGATCATCGCAATGTACAAATTGTTTTCATAGAAGGGTACTACATATTTAAAATTATTAGTCACCCAATCTAGTAGGCCATTGTCCCTTGCTTCTTCCAAAACGTCCTGCTCGTGCTTTTTCATGCAGCATTTAATTATAAAAAGAATATTCATTAAAATATCGCTCTCACGTAGCAAGTCTTCATCCATGTTCTTTAAAATATTCACCAGAAACTCAATTAACGAATGCTCCAATAGTTCTTTAATGAATTCCTCAGATACGTCGTGTATTGCATAGTTTGTCAATTCCAATAATAAGTTGGTTGTAAACAAAGCTATTTCAAAATCGTTGTAGGAAAGCAATCGTATAATATATGGCACTATATTGGTGGATTGCAGCAACTTGTAGTCCGGTTTTTGGCATTTCTTCCTTAAGTTTTTCAGGCTTTTCAACAACTTAATTTCAGTACTTAAATACTCGGTCGATGAATAGTGGTAAAGTCGTTTTATAAAATCGAATAGTCTGCATTTTTCGGTTAATTTTAATAAAGCGGTTTTCATGATCTTGTTTTCTTAAATAAAATATATCTAATAATACAACATATATTGAGGATTGTATTTTAAATTAAATGTTTATACCTATAATATACCTCTATAAAAACATCATTATTCCAATCGTAATACCTGTACAAAAATTTTTCACCTATATTTAAACGCCATTATTTTAATCCTAATACCTGTAAAATCTTTTTCCAAATAACTTTATTTCTAAAATTGTTAAGTAAAAATTTATGTATAAATTGATACGATGATAAATGATAATTAAATTGTTTTTTTTATTTTAAGCATCTTTTAATAAGGGTTTTAGTAATGTACCTAGTTGAAACAAATTAATGTTCCTACGGCAAAAGTAAACACAATTTTTAATGAATCTATGAATGTTATCAATAAAAAGGTATTTATTACAAATAAATTTACCTTTAGTAAAAAGTATCTTATATTATAATGTAACTTAGACAAAAACAGTTTTAAATAATGTTTTTTTGTCCTTTTTTACTTAATATTGGAGATACTGCCTCGTGGGGCAGTATGTAATTACATTATAATATAATGTAACGATTTATCCTTATTAACAATAAAAATTGACTTGGTTAGGAAAATCTGTTTAATTTTGTTTTTCTGGAGATCGATTTTAATTTTCAATATTTATTAAAATTTCCGTATATAAATAAATATGTATAAAAGTACCAGTAATTGCAAATACTAAAAAGGATTAAACTAAAGCGGTATCTATCCTTGCCATTCTCTTTTTTGATTTACCTTTTTATCTCTTTGATTAAAGGAGATACACATTATAATAACACTGCATGTTTTAAAACGTTCAACGGTTTCCAAAGTACCTTTATTTAAACCATGTTAAAACAGGTTAAAAGGGACAAATTCCGATTTTCTTACTTAAAAGCAGTTTGTTTTTTATAATAATTTTTGTTCAAAACCGTTTATTCCAACAGCGATCCAATCTGGCACCACTACTCTTTCTTGTCTTTATCAAAGATTTGTCTTCCAAACTGCAGTCATCTCTTTAATTGGTACAATAAATATAATATTTAAATCTATGATATTTACGAAGGAAAAAATGCTATATTTATGCTTTATTAATCTGGTATTTAATCTATTATATTATTATTGAATCCATTTTGTTTTTGTATAGGTTGCTTGATTCTCAACATAATTGTAACGGTTTACTTTCACAGATTTGTGGCAATTGATTAGCAGATTAACACAATTAATTTTTTTTCAAATAATATTGGTATACCAATACCAAAAAATTAATTGTGTTAATCAGCTAATCAATTGCCACAAATCTGTGAAAGTAAATATATTTATTTGCATTAATATAAAAAAACGTACGATATTTATGTCTTGTACTTTATTTAGTAGACAAAAATTTAATACAAATCTCCATTATTAGAAAGATAAAGGAATCGTCCGTAAAGTACGTCAAACCGTTTGAGAGAATTTCAGACCCCCTTCACCCATGTCACCCATAATCGCATTTCTAACGTAAAATATGTAATTTTTTGAAAGTTTAAAACAAACCCATTCAATTTTACGTTTTACTAAAAGGAAACAAAAGTATTTAAAAAATGCGATTGCGATGTAGAGGTTGTACAGCTGCGCCGTGACCGTGGCCAAGAACCGCCAATGCACTAGGTCAAGATCAGCTGATTGGCCCCGTCAGCGTGGAGGTGGCCAACGGAGTTGGTAGAGTGGAGGTTATGCAAGCGTGTCTTCAGGCACGCGGCGCGCATGCCCGACCATCAGAGAACCGTCGCCGCCACCGATGCTGCCGTCGCCACCGCTTGCTAAGAAATATTATCGCCACTTTTGCCGGTCCGTTTGAAACGCGAGCACCAGCAACGAATCGAGAGCAGATAGTTCGCGAACACTGATTGATTACACGAGGTCCGGTGCAAAAAGTATCTGCCAAAGTTTTTGTCCGGCTTTTTCGGTTTAATAGTTGGGAAGCTCCTGGAAGGTGACGTTAATTAACTATCTTTGTAGGTTTTTTTAGTAATGCACTTTTTTCTTTTCACGCACCTCATTTACAAATCACCATAAGGAAAAAGAAAATAAATTAAATTAAAGTTTAAATTGTTCAACAAACTAATTCATACGAAACGAATGAAAATTAAGTATAATTTTAATAATAGGTATAATACCTAGTTTTTAAAAAATATATAATATTATTTATGAATAACGTTGAACATAATAATATTTGTGATAATTATGTTAAATTAGACTTATCTTTGAACAGTATTTTATAAATAGTTTATTTTTGATTTTATGGTTGGATACAATAATATTATGTATTATATATATTTAGCCGTCAAATTTTTAGCAATTTTAAACTTTTTTTCTACTCCCCCATTGGTAAGCTTTGTGGCGTTTTAGTCACAGACTGAAGTTAGCAACAGTGTCTTTTGGGCATTTTAGTCACAGGCTGAAGTAAGCTTTATTATAAATGGAAATTGGAAAAAAGCGAAGTTAAATCCGTTGACAGTTGACAGATGTCAAATTTTTAACAAATTAAATTGGCTTTAAATTCTTCTGTGTGTTCGTCGTATATAAAGTATACTATGCAACTCGTTTTAAACACAGTAAAAAATTTATATGTATATTTAACATATTTCTTATGTCCCAGAAAGTCCACTCAAATTTTTTATTTATTTTTTATTTTTATTACTTATGTTAATTTTTAACACAACAGAATGTGTAAAAGAAAATTAATATATGTTATTTTTATTACATAACTGCAAATATAACTTAACAAATCGTATTGTGTCAATTTTTTTTTAAACAATAAATATGATTTAAAATCTGTATAACTTTAACATAATTAAATATGTTAAATATATTTATATTTTATTTATTTTATACAAAAAAGTGTTACTTTAACATATTTAATTATTAACTACGGTTTCGCGAAAGGATCGAACGGTCGATTTGCAAGGGTTCAAGAAATCGATTGAAACTTTTTTACCTTATTTCTACATCTTAATGCAGTACTTTTTTCAAAAAAAAAATCTCGTCCATTGACAACTTTGTTTTTATTTTAATTTTTTTCTTCGCTGTGTTAAAAATGAAGAAATTTCATTTTTTTAAATAACTTTTTTATTTCAAAACGTATCGATTTGAAATTTGGACAAAATGTAGATCTTACTAATGACAATTAATCCATGAAAAAATTTTGTTTAGATTATAACGTACAGGGGGCGCTGGTGATAATTTAGTTTAAAATTTGACAATTTTTAAAGGGTAAATAATCGAAGAAGCAACTTTGTTTTATAAATTTGAGTATAGCACGTGAAAGTATTGATATTTGACTATTATTTGATATATTAACTTTTTTATGCAAATTATGTTTCTGTGGCCAGGATCAGTTTTGAATTAGCAGTAGCAGTATTCATAAATGCTTAGTTTAGTACATTTTGTCATTTTTATACAAATATTGTTTTATCTTTTATTAATAATTAAGTAAAGCATAACACATAAATGACGTTTAATATACAGGGTGTTTCACGTACTTAGTCCGTTGGAAGTTTCTAGGGAATCGCGAAAGACATCGATTTAAAATTTTAATAGCGTAAATTATTCGCTTTAGACTCTTTTCCTAAATTATTTTAAACAAAATAATACTTCCTGTTTTACCGGAATACCTCATATATTTTTACATTATTTAATTCTACATAAAATTCTGAGTAAAATGGCTATACCATATCCTATACCTAAAGTCAATATTTTTTGAGTTATTATTATTTTTTCAATCAAATATTTTAATTAATTTTAAACAATGACAGATTTGGTGGTGATATTGTTACATTAAACCACATGTAGAATTTCAGAGGTTTGTTGATACAAAATAGTATTGAAAATATTAGAAATTGTTAAATGTCTCTGAAATTTTAACTTTAGGAAAGAGTTACTATAATACCAATCGAAAGATTCTTTAATGTTCTATTTGATTATGTTAAAACATACAGGGTTTTACATTTATAATAAAAACGTTGTTATTGTTTGAAGTTTGCCTAATTTCAAGTGGTTTTTCTCAAGGTATTTGTTGAAAAACCTTTAAAAAACTAAACAATGTTTTAATATTCCAAAAATTCCAACCCCATGTCAACAAACAAATTAAAGGCTATTTTGATTAACGTGCATTTTAACGAAAAAAATTAATATCTTGAAAACTATTGACTTTATGTATAGTCTAAATCAAATTGTATATTCTATTAAAATTTCAAATCCATACCGTTTGCGTTTCTCCAAAAACACCCTGTATAGCATTATATTAAATATAAAAAAATGCAAAATAACTAATTACAAAAAATCGAAAAACAAATGAATAAAAATATAGGTAGGTATATCTAAATAGCCGATTGCAACATAAAAAGTCTTTATTCTAATTTATTTATTGGGTAAATATTACTTTCCTCAGTTAGGAATTAAAATTGAAGCTTGTTTATCGAGTAAAACATAAATTGAAGCTTGGTTGTGGAGCAAAAAATAAAATTAAAGTAGGTTATAATTTCTAACTTGCTGATACCTACTCTCTATAATTATTATTTAGTGTATTCATTTTAATAAATTAATATTTTAAGTTTATAGTACACTTATAAATTGAAACGCAATCAGTCATTTGCAACTTATAAACTGAACTGTTAAATTATCTTTCATGCTTCCAATGGTAGGTTACCATAGAGATAAGTCTGTGATGCCTACTATGATCAAAATTAGTAAACTTAAAAAAATTTAAAATTTATAAATAAAACTAATTTTAGCTCCATCTATGGCGATTTTTTAAAATAAATATGTAAGAATTGTATGTTATATATAAAATATTGTATGTAATATATAATACATTATCTTATAAAACTAGTTAAAAAAATTTATAATTTGTAAAACACGTTAGTATTGCGCTCTTTGAAGGCTTAACTTAAAAATGGTGTCTCTCGTAGAAACATAATTTGCATTTAGAAGTTTATATATCAAATAATAGTTAATTATCAGTACTTTAACGTGATATACTCAAAATTATAAAACAACGTTGCTTCTTCGACTTTTTAACCCTTAAAAAATGGTAAAATTTTAAATTAAATTGTCCACCGTGCCCCCTGTATATTAAAACCAAAAAAAAATAATACGTGGATTTATTGCCACTAATAAGGTCTACATTTTATCTTAATTTCAAATCGATACGTTTTTAAATAAAAATGTTATTACAAAATATCGAAATTTATCTATTTTTAACACAGTAGAGTGACTTAAGGCCTGAAAACCACAGGGGTCAATGGATGAAATTTTTTTTTTGAAAAAAAAGTACCATTTAGATGTACAAACAAGGTAACAAAA